CCAGAATGAGGCAAAAAAATGGCTTAAAAGATATATAAAAGGCTTGCAATAAACTTTCTAGGTATTCTTAACAGGGTGTGGCAATTCCGACTAAGAAGGTTTACAATATATTATTTATATTTTTTGTGCAATAATACTGGCTAACTTCAATTTCTATCTCAGATCTGGTCACAAGGGTCCCTTCAGAACCGGAACACTATTTATTAAATTTTATTTTTTTGTTCGCCTAAAAATATTGCATATATAAAATATCATGGAAATGCCAACCGATCAAAAGCATTCATCTGACAGTGCACTTTCTGATGAAATTAGAGCGCTTAAGATAAAAATAGAAGATTATTATTCCCAGCATAAAAACCTTAAAAAGGAAGTTAATTGTCTAGGAAAATACATAGAAGTACGTGTGGACTGTCTAAAGAATAACGTAGATGAATTACGTGCTATGAGACATTACAATCATAGCAAAAAATCCATAAATAGCTCATCCGAGTCCAGTTCATCCGACTCAAGTTCTTCTGAAGAAACTATTACAATAGTGGAGGAATTCGAGGAATCCGATTCAGATTATACACCATGCAAAGGATTTATTGGCCCCAAAAAGAAGATTCATAAAGTGAACTCAGGAAAAGTAATGTTCATGAAGTATAAATCCGGCTATAAGGTGAAACCTAGAAGGAATCTGACCCGAGCAGTCTGATCCAACTAGTCCAGAACAGAGATCATCCACCCGGAAGCACTGCTGCGCCCATCCTGCAAATTTCTATAATTTTCATTGCGCAGAAACAGAAGAGGCGCGTCAAATTCATTTTGAAAAATTGGGCGGCGTTATGGAAATAGCACCAAAAAATACGTAACTGGAATGCAAGCAGATCCATTCTAAGCATATTTTAGAATAGTGAACATGAGTGATTACATTTTGATAGCATTTTCGATAGCGAACTTAAATAACAGATCGTGCGGCGCTGAAAAATATTTAAACATTTCTAATTTTTATAGAGTTATTATAACTAACAACATGCATACATATAACCCACTTACACTTCCAGATACTATTGCTGAAATCGTCTTAAAACTTCCATTAGAGGATCTAGATAACTGTATTCAAATTAACCGCACATGGTATAAAGAAATTTGTCGTGAACTTTATAAGAGGTGCAAAAACTTTAATACAAAATACTATGATTTAGTGGAGAAACTAGACAGATGCTACAGAAAATCGGATATAAATGATAATGAAATTGAGCCCATATATAAAAATGCATTAATAACATTTGATGGGCTCATAAAAGTAGAAAGGTTTTTATTAAATAAAAATATGGTCTTCAGTAAAAGAATTAGAAATGCGATATTGACCAATATTGAAAAAGATAATTATGAAAACCCATTAGATTTATATAATTTTGGGGAAGATACATTCGAATATATAAAATACCTCAAAACATTTTAAGGTTTCATTCACCATATTAATTATTTTTTCGATATCCTTAAGCTAGATTTTTTATTCACGATTGTCAGTGAAGAAAAAATCTGGCAATAAGAAGGCGAAATCTGGAAGAAATCCGAAATGGCTCATGTGAATTACAATCTCCGCTTCGCATGGTATTGGGCATGTGATTTAACTGCGCCATTATTAAGTGGACTGCAGAAGCTTTATTTTAAACGGATCTATTAATAAACCCAACCAAGAGTTGTGTTGCTATACTGATGGACTTTCCCGAAAGTTCTGGTAAGCCTTTCATTACGCAGTTCTGAATTACTAATAAAAAAAACACATCCTGATTTACATGCGGATCGTAAGACAGGTTTGATATTAATTCTGCATTCAATGAATAATTAATCCGTTGACTTTTTTTTCTGGAAGGTTCTGGCATAATACACATATTACGAATCTTTGAATTAGTATTACGCAAGTCAACCCAATGTCCCTGATGATAGAATGAGACAAGAATGGAAATTACGCCTCTTAATCTACCGATTTACAGATCTGATGTTTGCAAAGTAAACGGCACGCCTCTGGCCCCCGTTCTACATAATAAAACAAATTTCCATTTATGGGTCGTTAGTGGATTTGTATAGAGCACGAATGGGGGTTTAAAACAACCTGTAATTACGCAAATAAACGTGAGCGATCTTCAAGATCTTGTGCGATCTTAGCAATAAACTGACCAAGCGACGTAATTTTTATTTCATCTAATTAAATCGGGTTAAATTCCATTTCAACGCGCAGTATATTATGCAAAGCTCGGCTAAACTATTCACACAATCAAGAATATGGATTACAGTTAACACATGTATCCCCGCTTATCGATGATCATACAATTGCTTATCAGAAAATTTGCGCCAATGCTCCTGATAATTTTATTCCTAGAATGGCTAATTTTTCGCAAAAATATTCATGCGGAATCTGTCTGAAATTTTTATAAATATACCCTGCCTTTCCCCCACTCGACCTTTCAATTTGATCTGCAAATACCTATGTAATGAAGGTTTTTTAAACCAAACTGCGCCACATACGAAGAAAGTTGAGAATTAGAATGAAGTCAGCCGTTAATAATACACCAGAATGGGACTTAGTTTAGCATATTAACTTGTAGATACACTCTATAATGTAGTTTATTCTTATTCTTTATAACAATTGTACCTTTAATAGTATAATAGTATTAGTGAAATTTTATTAATAAAATATTTTTGCAAAGCGCCTTACGGCCAAGCATTTACGAAAAAAATATTATTATTTTCATTGCTTGAATATGTTGTGGGGGTATAGGATACGATAATACACTAACTTTTTTCGTCTTTAGGTATAAGCGCCGGACAGGATCTTGATAATTTTCAGAAATAAGGGGTATATTCATTATATCATTTTCATGCGCATCACCTTCGGTCAATTATTCCAGACCTAAATTTCGGTGTGGGTTCTCTATGCTAGTATATATGGATATTTATTTTTGCCATGCGATTATAAAACATATAAAAGGTCATTTCTAGAGAAGCACCTTGGCATTTTTTTCTCCTACAAGTGAAAAAATAAAATATCATTTTCGTGTAATTCTAAGATATCATTTTCGCGTAATTCTAAGATATCAAACACCAATCTAACACAATGATCCAAAATTCTGATATTTCTTTGATCGTACTCTTCGGCGTTGTAATTACATTTTTCGAGATGGTAACCCGTGGTGCCCTAACAATGGATATGATCCAGGGCATTTTTTCGGGAAACATAACCATTTATATAATCTTTGCCGTTGCTATAATCTTTTTTCGTAAATATCTAAAGGGATCAAGAGATAATAATCTCGAAAAAATCATCTTAACATTAAGTAATGAGCTTCAAAGAATGCGTACAGAAGCTGAATGGAAAAACGATACAGCATCTCAAGGTAGTTTTATTGTCCTAAACGCATTAAAATATCTGATGTGCATATACTTATCTGCGCCTTATTTTTTTTTCTAGCGGGGTCTAATCGATTCTCTTCCACAAGTCACGTTTCCATGGGACATTATTCCGAATATACGGAAGAATATGAAATATACTGGGTCGAATTTACGGCTCTTTTTAATAATAGGAGAAAAAAGGAAAGTCGCTCTCCAACACAAATGTACAACATTTTGTCAATCGAAATCGGCCTTAGCGCTAGCACATTAGCTAGTTTTTATCGACATCAAAAATCGCCAAGAACAACTTCTATGGATAAAATCATCGAATGGGTTGAAAAGGAGGGAAATAAGAAAGTAGTTAGTTTTAGCAGTAGTAGTAGTAATAATAGTAGTTCTATATAATAGATTTTCCAAATAAATTATATATCAAATTGTTTTCAGAATTTTTATATTAATAGCGGGTAAATAATTCTTACCTCAAACACGTTGCATACTCGCATGTAAAGAAAAACAAAATTACTTCGAAAAGTGGCGGAGGGAATATTTAAGCGATGTGAATGTAATAACGATAATTCTCGAATAATTAACCTTTAGTAAAAATAAATCAGAATCGATA